GCCTGAAGCTACTGGTAGGACTGCATCAGAAATTCTTCCATGCAATCGATGCTGATTGTGAACGACTCTGCAAAGCATTGGGACTGCCTCCAGCGATCTTGAAGCTTTGTCAAGGAATCATGCAGCATTGCGAAGTCTGCAGGAACAGGATGCGAGTCATGAACAGACCACTCGTCAAAGGCACATTGGCGACCTACTTCAATCAACGCGTGCAGAGCGACCTGTTCTTCTTGTTTGAGAAAGTCTGGCTCTTGTGTATCGATGAATGTGTACGCTTTCGACTTGCAGGACGTCTCAACAGCAAAACACCTTCGGACATCCTCAAGGGCTACGTGCAATTATGGACGAGGATCTTTGAACCAATGGAGACCTTGGTGATCGACCAGGAAGGAGGACTCACAGGCGACATGGCTTCTCCTTTCTGCGACCGCTATACGATCAAGCGCGAGTTCGGAGGCACAGCAGCACACACACACACACACGGGCCTTGCAGAGCGTGCGATCTCTTTGATCAAGACAGTTTCTCTCGAGACCAAGACCGATTGCGCGAAGCAGGGCATCACCTACCTCACCGATGAGGACATCGTCGCTGAGGCAGCCATGGTAGGCAACCTCACCTTGAACTATGGCGGCTCGGTGCCTGCTCAGGGTTTATTCGGCTTTATGCCCAAGGACGCCTATGACCCAGAGTCCAAGACTCTCACCAGTGCCAACAGCATCATTGAGCAGGTACCCGACTACACAGAGGCACATCTTCGTCTGCGCCTCATCGCGAAGGCCAACATGCTGCAAGCAATAGTCGAGGAAAGGCTGGCACGCGCTACCAACACGAGACAACAGAGTTTCGACACGAAGTGGCTCGAAACCTTGAAATCACACGACAAAGTTGATATTTGGAGAGCTCCGGAAAGGAAAGACGCTGATGGCTGGAGAGGTCCAGCAGACTTCATTTCATTATCCAAGGATCTCGGCACCGCCATTGTCATACATCACGGACAACCCTTCATTGTGCCAGTGCGACATCTACGACCACGGCAGCTGTGCTACCATGTTTTGGGTTCCCACATCGACTCGCACAATATCTATCTGGACAATACAGAAACACCGGGTGCTCTAGTTCAGTTGTTGGAAGTGGTCGAGAACTGCACACCAGGAGTACTACATCGCATGGGTGAAGTCCCAGACGGCAAGGGCGGCTTGACACTAGAACCACGAGATCTGCAAGACGAACCGCCACAGCTCTGGCTTTCCATCCAGCACCTGGCCAGTTCGGTTTTCGGGCTGCCTGGAGTTGACTCCATCTTCTTTGGCACGGGTTTCCGAATTGTGCACTCACTGAAGCCACTTCAGCATGGAGTACTGATTGCATGGCATCCCGATCGTCGGCAACACTACATCAACCGCGAGCTCAACCTGCACGTCCAGAACAACATCAGCAACATCATTGGAGCATCCTGGCACAGTCATTACTTCCATATTCTGGCATTAAAAAAGGCTCCAACTTCTCACGACGAATATCGACCGATCGACGACCTGGACATATCCAGCATCACCATCCTCGAGGACGCCTCGGAGAACAGTCCACCACGAGCGATGCGACAGCAGCCGAACGGCATCGAATCGATTGCACCGACCACTACGCCCGCTCCCGCATTGGCTGAAGGCACCGCATCGTTAGAGACGACCCTCGAAGAGGTGGAGGACAACTTGTCAACGGAGCTCGGTCGGTTTATTCCTTCTCCCGAGCTAGCACGAACACCGCGATCGGCACTGAAGGACATCAGTCGTGAGTCAGTCTATCGAACACCAGACCATCGTCAGGTTGGGATCGCTGAGACCCCTTTGATTGATTTGGACGTGAAGCACGATGTATCAACACCGCCACGGCGACCAGCAGACGAAAGACCTATTATGCCTGATTTATCTCAGGATCCTGTATTACAAATGGCATATGGCAGCAGCGGCTCAGCATCATCGCCATCAGCAACCTCTCCTATTCCACACTATCCTGCACCACCAGTACCTGCACAGCAATGGCATCCAATAATGCTACAGCCTGTGATCTTACAGCCTACTGTGATCGACCAGAGCATGCAGCAAGCCGATCAGAGCATGACGCAATCCGATCTGATCTCATCGCTATCTGATCAAAGTATGCGGCAGGCAGAGCAGCATCAGGACAACGCGGACATGGACCTCGCGCAGGAAATGAACAGGATTCTGGAAGAAGCCGATCGACAGCATGAGGCACGCGCTCAACAGATTCAGCATGCACCACAAGCCGCAGAACAGGATCATGATTTCACGAAGGAGATGAGTAGTATCACTGAGGAGGTCAATCATGGACAGGCACCTCAATCCACAAGCACAGGATGAGACAGCAGCGAACTCTTCACGTGATTTCGTTGAGGAGCTGGAAAGGTTGATTTCCGAAGATGAACAGGACGAACGACTTCTACCCGAGAAGCGAGACATCGACACGTCTGGTAGCATGGAACCAATGCATAAGATAATGAAGCACAATGATGCAGGAGATGAACCCTTGCCTCTTCCAGAGACCAGACGACACGACGAACCTGTACCACTTCCTGATCTGGAACATCCGGAATCAGACGCAGAACCAGTACCTCTAGAGGACAGCTCCTACTATTCAAAGCACGATGTTAATCACTACACGCATTTCCTCACGGAGAAGGCTAAGACATCTTGTACTTCGAGAACTTCAGACTTATTACAACTTTATCCAGATGTCAATCACATGAAGGACGACTTCGAGGACTACGAGCACTACACGAACGACGCTTCGCCCACGACGCCCCCATGGAAGAGGACCGACAGCATGTTCGTAGTGGAGAGTCCGGGCGAGGCCGAGTGTTTCTACTATGACATCCTTGAGGACACGTGCATACCCATCTACGCTTCACAATCTGAACATCTCGTGGCCGAGGAAGACATTGCCAGATTGTGGGATCTCATCGAGCCCGCAGATCACAAGGAGATCAGCTCCTATGTGCAACATGATTGCTTTCGCCCTCGTTTGAAGGCAGACTGTGCGACGGACAATTTCATTGATTCTGTTTGGGTGCGCAGATGGATGTGGAAAGAGAAATGGGTTCTACGTTCGCGCCTGCGTGATCAAGGCTTCAAGGATAATCAGAAGTACGCGGTGGATCGCAACAGTTCCACAGCAGCGCGAGTCAGTCAACGCATGATGATATCTTTAGCACAGACGCACGACAACTTCCAAGTTGAATCATGGGACATATCATCTGCTTTTCTTCAAGGCTTGAAGTTCGAGGAGCTGACTCGCAACTCAAAGAAGCTCGGCCTGGACATCCGGGAGAAAAGACATGTATACATCATTCCACCAGCCAACGTTTGGCGACATCTGCAAGATCTCTCAAAGACATTCAACATTCCCGACTCGGAGACGCATCTGTACGTCCTTGAGCGCATCAAACCTGCACCGGGCTTGGTAGACGCGCCTCTGTCGTGGCAGGCAGCTGTCACCCTACACGTGTGTGATGATATGTCTGGAGCGAAGGCACTACTAGATGAGAACTGCTTCACCTGGCATTCAGGTGATGATTTGGTGATGGCCACTACGCTCCACGTTGACGACCTGCTACCAGTTGGACTACAAGATTGGCTGGACTGGGGACATCAGCTCATGGAGAAGAAGTTCGGCAAGATTACAAGGAAGAAGCTACCATTCACTCATCTGGGATGTGAATACGTTCGCACGCCCAACAATTGCATCTTCATCAATCAGGACGCCTATCTGGACACGATCAAGGCTCCCGAGATATCGAAGCATCGCCTACAGCAAGACAGCGACTTCTGCACGAAGGAGGAGATTCATGATTATCGTTCGTTGTGCTGTCAACTGCCACATCTCTTGCAGACCAGAGGGGACGTCAGCGCCGCAACTACGCAACTTCAGTCCAAGCTGACGAAGCCTATTATTGTTGCTGACATGAAGGCCTTGATTCTGACGCTTGATCGGGCCAAGAGGAATCGGCAAGGCATGGGTTTGTATTTTCATCGTCTACATGGTCCATTCAAGTTATCTTCCATAACAGATGCAAGTCATGGTTCGAGAGTAACAAGCTATGCACATGAAGCTCAAGGATTGTTCTTATGCGAGGACAGACCTATCAGAATCACGAAAGATGGCCAGCTTTGCCCGGATGATTACAGCAAGTTCCTATCAGGCACATCAAAGAAAGGCAAAAGGATCAGTTACTCCACATCACATGCAGAGGCAGTATCAGCAGTTGGTGGTTCTCAGAACGCACAGTACGTAGCTCTTCGTTACACGGAATTATTGATGAAGCCATGGATCACCAGGACATCTACTACGACACTTCAAGGTTTGATGAATCTACAGGATCAAGGTTTGACTGTGATGCCAGTTGAAATGGGAACGGATTGTTTTGATTTGTATCAACTGACTGTTGGACAGAAAGGCGTACCAGTGGACAAGACTCAGAGGCTGTGTGTCCTATCATTACGTGAGGATCGAGTGAGTGGCAGAATGATGAGAGTGTTCCACCTACCCACGGATCTGATGATAATGGATGGTTTGACTAAGGTGGGAACATGTCCAAAGCGAATGCAGTACATGACAACAGGTATCATTGATTCGACCAGGTACACTTCTACCGGCACCACTATGAACATCAAGAAGCAGAACGAGAAGCCGATCACTGTCAGGAACAGCAGCGTGAAGATGAACTTCCAGGAGATCGACCTGATCGAGTTATCTGAGGCGCCCGCATGCGCCTTCGTTCATCCGACCTATCCTCAAGAAGCAGGATCAGAGTAAGGATATCAGGTGGCCCCTTGGAGTTAGGTAGAGGTTATTATAAGTAGACAGAGTAAAGTGTTGAGAATAGAACTGGAGAGTGAGATGCTCCGCAACATCGGGGCTCAAGTCACCCAGAAAAGCATTCAGAAGCTAACTGGAGCGAGGGGGGAGGACGGGGGGAGGGGGGGGGGGGAGGACGGGGGGGCGCGGAGTTTTATTCCCCGGAGAGAGAACCAGGGGGGGGGGGGCCCTTTTCTAAAGACCCTACCGGGTTACGGCAGTCGTTCGACGCACCCCCCTGGCGGTATCACCGCTGGGTCCCTTCCTGCAGCCGCCTCTCGAGCGCGGCGCTCCGCCCTCTCCATCGCCTCAGCCTGGTCGAACGCGTCATCCAGTTCCTGCTGCGTGGGGGCGGCCCGAAATCGATACACATTCCCTCGGGCCCGGCGGCCACCGCGCCTCAGCAGATCTCACCGCTGAGATGTGGGCCTCCTCCAGGTCGTACTTCTCCGAATAGCAATCGCCATCCGGCGCGAGGATGTGGTTAGTCGCCCAAGACACCCTTCAGCTCGCGACGCGCCGCCTCTGGTGCCACAGCTCGCCCTCCCCATTGTAGAGCACGTACACCCAGGCGCAGCTCGCTGCCTGTGGCTGGCTCATCGCCGCCGGCATCGCCATCCCGACGGCGGCGGCACTCACAGGTGCGCCACACCGTCGCCACGCTCTCCGCGCCGCAGGCGCCGGCCAGGCAGCCGATGGCCAGCAGCGCCACGCCCCAGCTCCACGGCAGCCCAACCTCGAGCTGCACCTCCGGCGCCGCGGCCGGCGTTGCCGGCGCGCCCAGGCACGCTGGGCAGGCGGGGATCGAAGGACACCGACCACAATTGCAGTCGGGGCAGTGGTGCTCGGGGCACCGCGGGCAGCTGGCCAGGTAGCTCTGCGTCAGTCCAGCTGCCATCGCGGCGAGCTCTCCCCACATCCACCGCGCACGAACGGACGGGAGCGCGGTGGTCTCTCCACCAATTAACTTGAGCGACGACAGTTGCGGATACAACAAGATTCGGCCAACTCTGTGAGGACGGGGCTCCAATATCAATGTACAAGTACTGTCAGATGTATGTATGTATGTTTGCATGCATGCATGCATGTATGTATGTATGTATGTGTGTATGTATGTGTGTATGTATTTTATGTGTGCATGTATGTATGTATACATGTATGTATGGATGCATGCATGTATGTATGTATGTATGCATGCATGTATGTATGTATGTATGTGTGTGTATGTATGAATGTACGTATGTGTATGTTTGTATGTGTGTATGTATGTATGTATGTATGGATGGATGGATGGATGGATGGATGTATGTGTGTATGTATGTATGTATGTATGTATGTATGTGTGCAGGTACGTATGAACGTATGAACGTATGTATGTATGTACGTATGTATGTACGTACGTACGTACGTATGTATGTATACATGTTGTACGAATGCATGTATGTATGCATGTATGTGTGTATGTATGTATGTTTGTATGTGTGATGTATGTATGTATGTATATCTGTATGTATGTATGTATGTATGTATGTATGTGTGTATGTAGGTAGGTAGGTAGGTGGGTGGGTGGGTGGGTAGGTAGGTATGCGTGTGGAAAAATATGTATGTACGTATGCTGTATGCATGTGTGTATGTGTATGTGTGTATGTGTATGTGTGTATGTGTGTATGTGTATGTGTATGTTTGTATGTATGTATGTATGCATGGATGTATGTGTGTATGTTTGCATGTGTCCATGTGTGTATGCATGTATGTATGTATGTATGTGTATATGTATGTATGTAGGAATGTATGAGTGTGTGTATGTATGTATGTATGTATGTATGTATGTATGCATGCATGCATGCATGTATGTCGAAGGTGAGGGGGTGAGATCGAAGTGGAACGGAGAGCCCCCTTACCGGGAAATCGATTTCGGTTTCGTATTCGTGCGTGCCGTGCGGGCGAGGCGAAGCTGCGTGGGCGGGCGAGAGAAAGTCTCCTGTGGCTGAGGCGCGGCCGGACCAAATGTCTCCCTTCCGGGCGGCCGGGGGCCCGCGGTGTCCCGCCGGTGTCCCGCTGGTGTCCCGTGTGGCTGAGGCGCGGCTGGACCAAATGACTCCCTTCCGGGCGGCCGGGGGCCCGCGGTGTCCCGCCCGTGTCCCGTCGGTGCCCCGTCGGTGTCCCGATGATGATGATGATGATGATGATGATGATGATGGTGCTGATGATGATGATGATGATGATGATGATGATGATGATGATGATGATGATGATGATGATGATGATGGTGTCCCGATGATGCTGATGATGGTGATGCGGATCGATTGTGAGATCGATAGTGAGGTCGAATGTGAGATCGATAGTGAGATCGATAGTGATATCGGTTGTGAGATCGAACGTGAAACCGAATGTCAGATCGATTGTGAGATCGGTTGTGATATCGATAGTGAGATCGATAGTGGTATCGGTAGTGAGATCGATTGTGAGACAGAATGGGAGATCGTTTGTGATATCGATGGTGATATCGATAGTGAGACAAATAGTGAGACCGAATGTGAGATCGATTGTGGGATCTATTGTGAGATCGATTGTGAGATCGATAGTCAGATCGATTGTGAGATCGATCGATTGAGATCGATAATGAGATCGATAGTGAGTTCGATAGTGAGATCGATGATGAGACCGAATGTGAGGTCGATTGTGAGATCGATTGTGATATCGATAGTGAGATCGATAGTGAGACCGAATGTGAGATCGATAATGATATCGAAAGTGCGTTCGATAGTGAGATCGATAGTGATACCGAATGCGAGATCGATTGTGAGATCGATTGTGATATCGATAGTGAGATCGATAGTGAGACCGAATGTGAGATCGATAATGAGATCGATAGTGAGTTTGATAATGAGATCGATAGTCAGATCGAATGCGAGATCGATTGTGATATCGATTGTGAGATCAATAGCGAGACCAAATGTGAGATCGATTGTGGGATCGATTGTGAGATTGATTGTGAGATCGATAGTCAGATCGATTGTGAGATCTATCGATTGAGATCGATTGTGAGATCGGTAGTGAGTTCGATAGTGAGATCAATCGCGTGCGACGTTGGTCCCTCCCCCCCCTCACCTCCTTATCACCCGAAGGGTGGTCTATGCGGTATGTATGTATGTATGTATGCATGTATGTATGTATGTATGTATGAACGTATGTACACATGTATGTATGTACGTATGTACGTATTTATGCTTGCGCGTGTGTACATATGTACGTGTGTATGTACGTATGTAAATGTGTACGAATGCATGTCTGTATGCATGTACGTGTGCATGCATGTATGTATTCATCCCGTCCTTCCTACCCTCTTGACAACCCGTCCGCCTGCCCGCCGGTCTGCCCACCCACGATAGCGGCCGACCGTGCTCCCCCTACTGCCCCAGATGGCCGCTGCAGGACGAAGACGGGTCCGAGGCCAAACATGGGGCGTTGCTGGAGGTGTCCCTAGCCCAATGTGTCCCCAGGATTGCCACGGAGGCCTTGGTGGCCCTTCAGAGCACCCCTCACAAGGCCCAGGGGGCTCCAAGCGAGGCGAAAGGCCAGGGATAGTTCGGGCCAGGGACACATTCAGCAACCCCCGGAGACAGTGCTCGGTCAGCCGACACCCTGACGGAGAGCCGACGACAACGACGACGACGACGACGACGACGACGACGACGACGACGACGACGACGACGACGACGACGGCGGCGGCGGCGGCGGCGGCGGCGGCGACGGCGGCGGCGGCGGCGGCGGCGAGGAGACGTCGGGTGCCACCGGCCACTCCTCTGGCGGCACGGCGCCGCGCCTCGCCGCGGCAGCCAGGCGGCGCTCGGCGACGGCGGCAACCGCAGCGCCCTGCGGCGGCCGCGGATATCCCGCGCGCGCTAAGAGCGACGCACTCCGAAGCCGTTCGGGGCCCTCCGGGGCCCTCCGAGGCCCTCCGACGCCCTCCGAATTCCTCCGACGCCCTCCGAAGCACGCTCAGCGGCGCCCGCCGCCCTCCCAGACGGCGGCAAAGAGGGCGGCAAGCGTCGCTGAGCGTGAGTCGCTGTCGGATAGCCGCGAGGCGGCCAGTCCTGCCTCGTCTGCACGGCACGCCCTGCAATCGAAGGTCAATCGTCCGTCCGTCCCTCCTCATGCCCGCGCGGCTGCCGCCAGTGCCAGTTCCGTGCCAAGAGCCAAGACGCCCCCAAGACGCCCCAAGAGGCCCACTAGAGCCCCCAAGAGGTCCCCAAGAGGTCCCCAAGACGCACTAAGAGGCCACCGAGAGCGACGGCAGAGCTTACTCTGGGTCACATACACGGGGGGGTGGGGGCGGCAAGCCAGGATAGAATCACCGCTAGAAATGCTCTCCAGTTACCACCAGCCCCTCCTCCTGCCGCTCGTCCCCCTCCTCGTCCTCCTCTTCCCCCCCTTCGCCACACTCCCCCATTCCCCTTATTGAAAGAGCAGTTTTCGCAAAGCGCGAATGAGGCTTTCACCCCAAGCCCGAAGCGGGTGATCGGGAGATGCGTCGGGCCTCGATGACACGGCCTGTCCGACCTGGGCATTCAGGCATTCATTGACGCTTCGACCCACCATCTCGCTGGACCCCCTGTCTCCCCGCAGGCCCCATGACGGCTTGCACGCTGAGAGCGTGCCAACACTCAGCCGTCAGTCTCCAAATCTGTCGACAGCTCGTCGATAGGCTGCAGGCTTGTCGAGACCCTGCTCCGCTTGCTCTGCCACGGCATCCGTAACTTCGACAGCCCGTGCAGGTTCATGCCCACCACCAGCCCAAGCTCCTCGGAGCTTGCGTCCGAGCCGTCAGGGTCCCGCGTGGAGCTCCCGGGCACAAGCTCTGCGCACTCTGCAAGCATGAACGCGGCTCCGTTGATGGAAAACCGGAGCGCCCCGAGAGTGCCGTCCAGCTCACTTCCATACGCCGTCTCGTTCACAATTGCCTGGCTGCGCTTGTGGATCTCGGCCAGGACCTCTCTCGGGAGCCATTCCTCGGCGGCGAGGGGGGCAGCACGAGGGGGCGGGGCTTCTCTGTGAGGCGGGGAGTTTGGGAACCGACGCCCTGGTGCACCGGCGGGCGGTGGATACGCATATGTTTGGCCCCCAGGGGCCCCGAGTATATCCATGTCCACTTCCTGTGGAGGTCCGCGAAGATCGATCCCCCAAGCGGTGGTTATGGATAAATCCCCGCCTCGGATCTTAGAAGGCGGCGGGGATTCTCAGAAGCTCTCCGGCCTTCTGGGGGGCCCAGAAGGCTGCTCGAAAGGCCAGAGGCCTCTGGAATCCTTCCGAGGAGGCATGCCCCCTCGGCCCTCCCCCCTGGGCGCGCCGACCCAATCCTTCAGGGCTGGCGCCGACTTCTGGACATCAAATCTCAGCACCTGAGCGACGATCAAAAAGGGGTCCTACGTGGAGGCACAGCGACCTTACGCGGTGGCTTACGCGGGCCGCTGGCGCGGCACGCCACATTGGAAACGAGGGCGCTCACGCGCGACCCTACGCAGGCAGCTTACGTGCCAGTGTCGGCGCAAACGACCCCGTTTTGTTTGTGTCGCTCACCTGGGGAAACAAAAAGGTACCGATACCGCTACTCTCCGGGCCTCTCCATGGATGCGTTCCGACCAGAATTTCGATGCGAATCCAGCGGTGACGACGAGGGCCCCCCAGGAGGCCAAGAAAGGCGAAAACGAGCCCAGGGTAGCAATACGGGTACCTGTTCTTCCTATGAGCACCATCTCCAGGATGCGGAGATCCCTGGTCGCGGAGTCCAGCCGCAGGCCGATGGACGACACCCTGCCGGCGTCGGGCGCGGCCGACGAGCGTGACGAAGCCGAAGAGGCCCTCGAGGACGACGAGCGCGAGGACTGGGACCGTGGTCTCTGGGAAGCGTGGCGGAGGCTGGGGGCAACGATAGGGGCGGACTGGCTCAGGAGGGAGGATGCCAGCTGCACACCCGTCGGGGTTCGAGGCTGCAGTCTCGAGGTCTGCTCCTTCTCCTCCTCCTCCCCCTTCTCCTCCTCCTCCTCCTCCTCCTCCTCCTCCTCCTCCTCCTCCTCCTCCTCCTCCTCCTCCTCCTCCTGTTCCTCCTTTTCCTAATCCTCCTCCTCCTCTTCCTCCGCCTCCTCCTCCTCCTCCGAGGGCGTTCTCGTCGGTCCCCGGCGGCTTTCCAGCCCCAGGATGCCCATCCAGCAGCTGCGCCCCGGCGAGAGGGTTCCGGGGGGGGCCCTCATCGTCCCGAACTGCCGCTGGCACGGATCCTCGCCAGGCTCATCCTGGGTCCCAGATCGGTGTATGCGCCCTCCTGGCCTGGGCAGGAGGGCATATGCTGGGACGCAAAGGACGTACTACTACCATCGTCAAAATGAACCTCAATCATGGCGACCACGCCCCTGCGATGTCGGCACGCCCTTCAATGTCGATCGACGCCCCTCCAATGTCGGGGCCAGGGCGAAAATGGTCTGACCGGGAACGACTCGGAAGTTCGATGACGACCGACATCGGAGGAGCGGCGCATACAAGTACCTTGCAGTCAGCGCTACTCTGTCCAGTATCTCTCCACAAACAGTTCAGCCACGTAAGACATTTTTGAGGTTAATGTTGACGAGGGTTGTAGTACTAGTACTATGTGTCCTCCTTGGAGGCATGCGTCTGACCCGAACATACAGTATCACTGTCTTGTAGTGTACCGTTTCCCGGGCGGTATGGCCAGAAAGAGCCCGCCACGGAGGATATACTGGAAGGTTCCTCGGCGGGCGCATTGCCCATGGGAAGGCGACGCACACATAGAATTAGTATGTTGGGGTTACGCCGGCATGCGCCGATCCGCGGGGCCAGGATCGGAGGTGGTGTACCGTGGGTGCCCTCCGATGGAGGGGGGAAGCAACGACCCAAAGTCGGCGATGCATCGCCGACAGATCGGCAACATGTCCCCTGACCAGGCAGCACAGCTGGGTCCTGGACCAGCGCGAGGGCGTCGCTGTACACCCTCTGCGTTGCTGAGAGGCTCAGGAGTGGACCTGGAGAGGGCTCAATCTGCCCTGCGGGCTAGAGAGCTGGCGTCCATTGAGCAGCGGCGAAGCCCCACGGCACATGGACTTTCGGATGATGAGTCGAGGACACAGGCCCCCGATAGTGAGTCCGCGCGCTCCTGGTCGGGGCAGGGCTATCGGGCCCCTATCGGCGATCAGTGGGCGTTGCATACCCCCTGAGCCACAATGACCCTGGTCGTCTGGTTCTCGGCTCATGAATTTGGTCTCCAGCGGCGGTTCGGGACGATCTGGGCACCCCCAGACGCCACTCGGCAAGGCGGATCTGCTGGGGAGCATCCAGAGGCTGGAAAACCGCCGAAGGAACCAACGAAAACGCCCAAAATCGTCAAAACATCGAACCTCTCGATATCGGGAGCCAAAAATAGGTACCCATAGTCGCTACTCCCCAGACTTCCAGGGGTGCGTTCTGACCTTTCCAGGAAGCATCCTGCCGTGGCGACGAGGGAAAGGTGGCGGTATCGATACCGCTTTCTCTTCTGATCCCCAACCCTGTCCAGAAGCCTCCAAGATGGGGTCCGAGTAGATGAGGTCGGAGGATCACGCCGCATCGCCAATGCATCGCCGATGCATCGCTGATACAGTGGCGATGCACTGGCGACGTCGGCGATGCATCGGCGCCGACGGCGTGGGGAAAATCGGGCTCCGCATCGAGCCGCATCGCCTATGCATCGGCGATGCGGCGCGATCCTCCGACCCCATCTACTCGGGCCCCATCAGGGAGGCCTAGATGCGGGCAAATGTACAAATGTATATCCATATCCACTGCATCTTGGCCTTTCTGGGAAGGGGCGCCAAAAGACCGTGGCGTAGTAGATCCGCCGGGCCACCAGGCTGTAGGGCGAAGGTTCGCAGTTTCCTGTACCAGTTGCAGCTTCTAGTTTCCACTGTTACAGTTCTGCTTCTTGCTGCTTACTGTTCCTTGTTGACTTCTTGCTGCTAACTGTTCCTTGTTGATGGACCGCGCGAGGGGAACGGAACGGAACGGAACGGAACGCCTGTGCGGGCATGCGCCCGGGCTCCTTAAGGGCGAGGCGGGTGAGGCCATGGCCTCGCATGAGAAGCTGCGCGCGTCGGGGGTCTACTCAGGACAATGCGTACTTCAGGGGCTGATTTCCCGACAGTCCCCACTCATCCGTTTTCTCATGATGTAGCCACGTCGTCTCGTTGAAATCGTACTGCTTGTGGTGTGAGACTGTCGGAGAAACCCGTGGGTTTCATCGTCCTTTCTGTGATCTCGAACTCATCGCAAAACACGTACGAGTTGAACTCCTCGGACCTCCAATCCACTGCACATGGGTGTGGGAGCACTGGTGTTCTCATGAACTCTGTGTCACATCCTTCAGGTACCACTCCAGAAACAGATCACCACGTGCAATCGAAAGCCCATACGCGCTCTGTGACACACCCAAGAGATCAGCGCGCGAGGGGGGGGCCAAAAACCACGATTTTTACCACGCCCAAAACGTATGCTCTCAATGTCTGGGGTAGGTAAAAATTTACACCTCTCACGCAGATCGGCGAGGTCAGGGTCCAAAAACACAAAGGATTTGCCACTTTTTTGAAATTCGGTGCCACCCCTCACGCAGATCGGCAGGGTCAGGGTCCAAAAACACGAAGGATTTACAACTTTTCTGAAATCCGGTGCCACCCCTCACGCAGATCGGCAGGGTCAGGGTCCAAAAACACATCGGACTTACAACTTTTCTGAAATCCGGTGGCGCCCCTCACGCAGATCGGCGGGGTCAGGGTTCAAAAACACAAGGGATTTGCTACATTTCTGAAATTCGGCGGCACCCCTCACGCAGATCGGCAGGGTCAGGGTCCAAAAACAAAAAAGATATGCCACATTCCTGCAATTCAATTGTTTCCTTCACGTAGATCGGCGGGATCAGGATCCAAAAACACAAAGGATTTGCCACATTTCTAAAATGTCCTAACACCCCTCACGCAGATCGGCGGGGTCAGGGTCCAAAAACACATGGGATTTGCAACATGTTTGAAATTCGGTGGCCCCCCTCACGCAGAACGGCGGGGTCAGGGTGCAAAAACACACAGGATTTGCCACATTTCTGAAATGTCCTGGCACCACTCACGCAGATCCGTAGGGTCAGGGTCCAAAAACACGAGGGATTTGCCACATTTCTAAAATTCGGCGGCACCCCTCACGCAGATCGGCTGGGTCAGGGTTCAAAAACAGAAGGGATGTTGTACATTCCTGAAATTTGTTAGCACCAATCAGGCAGATCGGCGGGGTCAGGATGTAAAAACAAAAAGGATTTGCCACATTTCTGAAATTATGTTCCACCCCTCACGCAGATCGGCGAGGTCAGGGTCCAAAAACACAATGGATTTGGCATATTTCTAAAATTCGGCGGCACCCCTCACACAGATCGGCAGGATCAGGGTCCAAAAACACATAGGATTTGCCACATTTCTGAAATTTGGCGGCACCCCTCAGGCACGCAGATCGGCGAGGTCAGGGTCCAAAAACAAAAGGGATTTGCCACATGTCTAAAATTTCCTGGCACCCCTCACGCAGATCCGTAGGGTCAGGGTCCAAAAACACATCCGATTTGCTACATGTTCTAAAATGTCCTGGCCCCCCTCACGCAGATCGGCGGGGTCAGGGTCCAAAAACACATGGGATTTGCTACACTTCTAAAATTCGGCGGCACCCCTCACACAGATCGGCAGGATCAGGGTCCAAAATCACAAAGGATTTGCTACATTCCTGGAATTCGGCGGCACCCCTCGCGCAGATCGGCAGGGTCAGGGTCCAAAAACATATGGGATTTGCTACACTTCTAAAATTCGGCGGCACCCCTCACACAGATCGGCAGGATCAGGGTCCAAAAACACAAGGGATTTGCTACATTTCTGGAATTCGGCGGCACCCCTCGCGCAGATCGGCAGGGTCAGGGTCCAAAAACACATGGGATTCGCCACATGTCTAAAATTTCCTGGTACCCTCACGCAGATCCGTAGGGTCAGGGTCGAAAAACAAACAGGTCCCGACACTGCTTCACGGCGAAGCCAAAGCCTCATTACTTCGCTCTTCCATGCCCCATTCTCCGAGAGAGGGGGCCGGCGGCAGGGGGCGAAGCCCTTACGGATATGGAAGAAGATCTAGCCTCTACTTATCCAGATCCACTGCGCATCGGGTGTCTGGGAAAGCGAGGCCGAAACTCCATTATGCAGCGGATATGAATACACACATCCTGCCCGCACTAAATGTGCCCCCCTGTCGGTGGCGACGATAGGGGCGAATAGCCCAGAGGCGGGCATTACAAGCATTCGCCCAGGAGCCTCCCCGAAGACATGGATCATCGGCGCTCCTGGATATATGTTTCCCTCCCCCCTTCGGCATGTTTGGCAGCGCGCAGAGGGGAGCAGGGGGATGGGGGGAGGCTTCTTAGGTGGAGGCCGGTTCTTAGAAGGCGCCGCCCCTACAACTACAGAAGAGGCCCGCGCCTTCCAAGAAGCAAGGGTGTCTCTAAGAAACCTCCCCCCTCCCCGTGCTCCCCCTTCTGCGCCTGGCCGACCTGTCGTCGCCTCTAACCCTAACGCTGCACCCGAGGAGGGCGGACGACACTGCCGGCGCCCGAGCCAGCGGAAGCGGCGGATGCCCCTGAGCCGGCCCCAGGGACAGGCCCTTCGGCGGGTGCCGCTCGCCCGCCAACGGCCCCAGCGCGGCCTGCCCTCCTCCTCCTCCTCCTCCTCCTCCTCCTCCTCCTCCTCCTCCTCCTCCTCCTCCTCCTCCTCCTCCTGATAAGCCCATGGCAGCGCTTGACAAAAATGGAGAGAGCGTGATCCACCGCCGCTTTACTGTGGAAAATTGCCAACCTTTTCCTCCGGAACCCGGGGGTCGCCCCTCCCCCCCCCTCCGAAAATCCCCCCCCCCCCTGCTGGACCCCCCCCCCCCCCTCCGGCAAAACCCCCCCTCCCCTAACCCCTCCCCCCCCCCCCCCTCCCCTCGAAACCAGAGGGGGCCACTACCGGTTCGAACCCCCTCCCCCCCCCCCTCCGGATCTGGAAAACCAGGGGGGGTCACTACGGTTCGACCCCCCCCCTCGAAAACCGGAGGGGGGTCACTACCGGTTCGACCCCCCCCCCACACGCACCGCCAGCAAACGACTCCCGGTCCCTACCACCGTCCGCATCACATCCCCCACTGTTGTTCCCAGCACCACTGTCCTCACCACCACTGTCCCCACTGGTTCCACCACCGTCCCTACTGTCCCCACCAGTGCCCCCACCACTGTCGCACTGTCCCCACTGTCCCCACCACTGTTCCCACCACGGTTCCACTCTCCCCACTGTCTCCACGGCCCCAACCACTGCCCGACTATCCCCACTGTCCCCACTGTCCCACTGACTCCTCCGCTGTCCCACTGAGCTGTCCCACTGTTCCCACCACTGTCCCCACTGTCCCCACCACTGTCCCCACTGTACCTCTCTCCCATTGTCCCACCGCCGTCCTCGCCACCGCCTTCACCACTGTCCCCACCACCATTGTACCCTCCACTGTCCCACTGCTTCCACCTCATTCCCACTGTCCCCACACCACTGTCCCCACCACCACCGTCCCCACCACTGTCCACTGTCCCCCCCTGTTCCCACCATTGTCCCCACCACTGTCCCCACCACTACCGTCCCCACCACTGTCCCACTGTCCCACTGTCCCCACCACTGTCCCGCTGTCCCCTCACCACTGTCCCCACCAACACCGTCCCCACCACTGTCCGCACCCCCACTCGGTTTTCGAAGGGGGGGGGGGTTCGAACCGGTAGTGACCCTCCCCCGGTTTTCAAGGGGGGGGGGGGGTCCGAACCGGTAGTGACCCCACCCCTCTTTCCATGATGAACTGGGGGGGGGGAGGGGTTCGAACCGGTAGTGACCCCCCCCGGTTTTCCGGAGGGGGGGGGGGGAGGGGTCCGAACCGGTAGTGACCCCCCCCGGTTTTCCGCCAGCAGCGGTAGAACACGCTCTTTCCAAAAATGCAAACTAGCCCCCGTTGGGAACGGGCGCTGGATCTAACCATGGGCGCACATGGCCTGCGAAGGCCAAGTCAGCAAGCTGGATCGGGAGGTGCTGGAGCGTCGGGCTCAGAGGCTGGAGGCGATTGAACGAAAAGAAATTCAATGTAAACTGGGGCATTTCCCGGTAAACTGGGTTCGTCCTTGGTCAGATAACTCTTTCTGGAAGATCCTGAAAGGTTTTTAGCGGTTCTGAAAGATTCTGAAAGATTCTGAAAGATACTGAAAGATACTGAAAGATTATGACAGGTTTTGAAAAATTACCTAACAGCGAAGACTGATAGATTTCTAATGGGGTCAAAAGAGAGCATCTGATGACTCCCCAGGGAGGTCTGGGCGGGAGCCGGACAGGCGAGAACCGGGCTCGTTTTAAACAAACAGTCACACACTTCGTGCTCTTCGACCTCCCAGAACTCCATTCCCGGGCCACATTTTGAATGCCCGGAGCCAACTGTAGGCCACTTCGTGCTCTTCGACTTCCCAGAACTCCATTCCCAGGCCACATTTTGGATGCCCGGAGCCAACTGTAGGCCACTTCGTGGTTTCGAGGTCCCAGAGCTTCATTCCCGGGCCACATTTTGGATGCCCGGAGCCAACTGTAGGCCACTTCGTGGTCTTCGAGTTCCCAGAACTCCATTCCCGGGACACATTTTGAATGCCCGGAGCCAACTGTAGGCCACTTCGTGCTCTTCGAGTTCCCAGAACTCCATTCCCGGGCCACATTTTGAATGCCCGGAGCCAACTGTAGGCCACTTCGTGCTCTTCGAGTTCCCAGAACTCCATTCCTGGGCATGATTTTGAATGCCCGGAGCCAACTGTAGGCCACTTCGTGTTCTTCGAGTTCCCAGAACTCCATTCCCGGGCCACATTTTGAATGCTGAGGCAGGCTGATGCTGAGGCTGAGGCAGGCTGAGGCTGAGGCAGGCTGAGGCTGAGGCCGAGGCTGAAGGCAGACTGAGGCTGAGGCTGAAGCAGACTGAGGCTGAGGCTGAGGCAGGCTGAGGCTGAGGCTGAGGCAGGCTGATGCTGAGGCAGGCTGAGGCTGAGGCTGAGGCTGATGCAGGCTGAGGCTGAGGCAGGCTGAGGCTGAGGCCGAGGCTGAAGGCAGACTGAGGCTGAGGCTGAAGCAGGCTGAGGCTGAGGCTGAGGCTGAGGCAGGCTGAGGCTGAGGCTGAGGCAGGCTGATGCTGAGGCAGGCTGAGGCTGAGGCTGAGGCTGATGCAGGCTGAGGCTGAGGCAGGCTGAGGCTGAGGCCGAGGCTGAAGGCAGACTGAGGCTGAGGCTGAAGCAGGCTGAGGCTGAGGCTGAGGCAGGCTGAGGCTGAGGCTGAGGCAGGCTGAGGCTGAGGCTGAGGCTGATGAAGGCTGAGGCTGAGGCAGGCAGGAGGCTGAGGCTGAAGCAGGCTGAGGCTGAGGCTGAGGCAGGCTGAGGCTGAGGCTGAGGCAGGCTGAGGCAGGCTGAGGCTGAGGCTGAGGCTGATGCAGGCTGAGGCTGAGGCAGGCTGAGGCTGAGGCCGAGGCTGAAGGCAGACTGAGGCTGAGGCTGAAGCAGGCTGAGGCTGAGGAAGAGGCAGGCTGAGGCTGAGGCCGAGGCTGAAGGCAGATTGAGGCTGAGGCTGAGGCAGGCTGAGGCAGCTGAGGCTGAGGCCGAGGCCGACGGCAGACTGAGGCTGAGGCTGAAGCAGGCTGAGGCTGAGGCAGAGGCAGGCTGAGGCTGAGGCTGAGGCAGGCTGATGCTGAGGCAGGCTGAGGCTGAGGCTGAGGCTGATGCAGGCTGAGGCTGAGGCAGGCTGAGGCTGAGGAGGCCGAGGCTGAAGGCAGACTGAGTTGAGGCTGAAGCAGGCTGAGCTGAGGCTGAGGCAGGCTGAGGCTGAGGCAGGCTGAGGCTGAGGCTGAGGCAGGCTGAGGCTGAGGCTGTGACTGCGACTGCCGTTGCCACTGCGACTGCCATCGCGAATGCGACTACGACTGCGAGAAAAGCAGAATTCTACAACAGGATTATCATCTGAATCTTAAGGAGAATGCTTCCATATATGCTCCTACACATCGCTGCTAGGTTGTTTTACCGGGATAATTCTAAGAGGTTTTGAAACATTCAGAGACGTTCTGAAAGATTCTGAAAGGTTCTGAGAAATTCAGAAAGGTTCTGAGAGATTCTGAAAGATGCTGGGAGGTTCTGAAAGGTTCTGAGAGATTCTGAAGGATTCTGGGAGGTCCTGAGAGGTTCTGAGAGACTCTGAGAGATTCTGGAAGATATTGACAGATTCTGACAGGTTCTAACCGATTCTGATCAATACTGAGAGATAGTGAAAGATTCTGATCGATTCAGAAACATTTTGAGAGATTCTGAAAGGTTCTGATATATTCTGACAGATTCTGACAGATTCTGGAAGGTTTTGAAAGACTCTGAAAGATCCTGAAAGATCCTGGAAGATTCTGGAAGATTCTGGGAGCTTCTGAAAGATGCTGGGAGGTTGTGAAAGATTCTGAGCAGTTCTGAAAGATTCTGAGAGATGCTGCATGGCTCTGAAAGGTTATGACAGATTCTAAAACATTCTGATAGATTTTGAAAGATGTTGAAAATTATGAGAGATTCTGAAATAGCCTGAAAGATTCTGAAAGAGTCTGAGAGATGCTGAAAGGTTTTGAGGGATTCTGAAAGGTATTGGAAGATTCTGATACGTTTTGACAGAGTCTGGGAGATTCTGATATATTCTGAGAGATTCTGAAAGATTCTGAGAAATACTGAAGGGTTATGAGAGATTCTGAAAGGTTTTGGGAGATGCTGTAATGTGTTGAAAGATTCTGCAATATTCTGACAGATTCAGAGAGTGACAGGGTCTGAAAGATTCTGAAAAATTCTGAGAAGTTCTGAGAGGTTCTGAATTTAACTGAATGAGCTGCTGCTGCACTCCAAGGGCCCCGTGAACTCAATGGCTTCACAAACCGACTTCGGACCCCAGTCCAAAGAGACAAAATGCAGGCGGTGCCGCTAGGCCCTTTATAATTTGCTACAGCTCCAGACCCGTCTGGAGATCGGCCAGTCTCGGCGGTCGCTGCCCTGCTAGAGCCGACGAGGTCAGCTGGAGGTGCTGCACGGCCACGCGGCGGCGCCCAGAAACTCCGAAAACCGCCCCGCATGAAGGCCCAGCCGGCGTTAAAACTGTTAAAACAATTTTCTCTGGCTCGGACCCCCTCACGGGGGCGGGGTGGACCAAAGAAAACGGCCGGTCTTAAGGTCTCTGCCCCCCCGTAGCAAGTAGAGTCTGCCATGCGCAGTGCGGGGGTCAGCGGGCTTACAAGACTCACGAATTAAATTATGCCAGTGGACCTTCGCTTAGCAGGCGTATCGTTTGCAGAAGACTTTCCCTGGCCTCTGCACGAGTCCGTGGCCACTGCTGCGAGGTAGTGCCAGTCGGTCTGCTAGCACTCCGCTGGGAGCGTCTCGCCTGCCACCCCCCCCCTGAGCCGCGTTAGGAACGGGAGAGGGAGGAGGGCCGCCACCAACACCACCACTCCCCGCAGTGCCCGCGGGGGGGGTCGGCTCAGGAGGGGGCCCCTTCTCGGGGTCCACTACGTTCGACGATTTGACGCCGACGGATGCCGCAAACTCAAAGATCCCTTTAACTGTGTGTAAAGAGAGCGATATATTGCTGGCG